AATGTGGGAAAATCTTGGTTTATTTGTTTATTTTTTTGGCAGCTGGACAGTATGGGGATCCAAACCTTTGACCTTGGTGGTAACTGCTAAGTCTAAATGATGGGTACAAACACGAGGACCCCTTATACTAGTCTCTTTTCTTATATGTCTGTCTGAAAATTTTCACAATGAATTTTGTAATAATTAAATTCAATTATTAAAATTAAAAGGCTCAATTGGTCACCACCTAAAATCGCCCCTGCCACTTCACTCATATCACCTGTACTAGATGTAGCACAATTTGGGGACACTCAGTCCTCGGTCACACCCACTGTGTACTCCCCAGGACGGAGGGAGTCTGTGCCCAGCGCAATGCCTAAAACATAGCAGGCACCAGATAAATAAGAAGTGGTACTGCGTACTGAGAGCTATTCTAAGCACTTTACCTGAATTAACTTATTTCACCCTCACAACAACCTTATGAAGTAGGTACAATTATTATTCCCATTTTAGAGATGTAAAAACCATAGCAAAGGGGGGTTATGCTACTTGCTCAAGGTCACACAGCTAGAAGAGGCTGAGCTGGGTATCCAGNGTGACAATGTGCCCTCTCTATCGTGTATACAGGTCATCTGCAATGAAGTCCTATCTTGCTGGAGTGGCGGGTGCACAGGAGACTTCTGCCCCACCCGAGTCCTCTCAGCCTTTAGAGCTGAGATGAGCCAGAGCTTTCAGGAAGAGCATTTGTCCAAAAGGCAAGTGGCAGAACTAGGAGCAGGAGACCAAGGCTCAGAGAGACAGATTAGAGCTCATGGAAAAGTGAACTTGCAACGAATGCCATCTGAAGGCAGGGGGTAGCCTCAGAGATGATAAACTCTCAGTCCCAGGAGGTGTGTAAGCTTTTCATCTGGTGCCAGAAGCCAGAACCCCCTGTAACCTCCTCACTCCAAACAATCTCCACCCACTCCAGGAATGCCCAGTGGCACTGGACCTTTCTGAGAAGCCCCACAGAAAGAATCACCCAAATCTTGGCCCTTAATCTAGTGACACCTGAAAGGGGCATCTCATATCTCACACTTGGTCCCATAAAGCATGGGTGAAGGACATGTGCCCCAGCATTGCTCTTCCCCTGCCCCAAGCACGACCAGGGCCTCGCCTGGTCTAACAGGGACCAGCAAACACCCAGCCTCACTCCCTCTCACCTCTTCCCACTGCTCAGGGCCAACTTCATCTCCAGGGAGGCAGGCAGGGGGCACCACACCCAGCACATGGGTATGGGCATCCCCCAGTGAGGCTGTGTGNTGCTATTTGTTGCCTGCTAGGGGAGTGTCAGGGTCTCCTGCAGGGCATCCTCCACAAGCCAGTTCCCACCAAGTCTTTGTTCTGGCGGTGTGCCTGCCTTCCTCACATCCCTGCCTTCTCAAGCCCTGCCTTGCCTTCAAGATCTAGCTCAAGTGACACGTCTGGGGAAGCCTTTCCAATGTCAAGCTAGAGCAAGAGCTTCCTCCCTCCCCTCCCCCTGCTCCAGCTTCCGTGGCACCTTGTACTCCTCAGGTGACAATGTGCCCTCTCTATCGTGTATACAGGTCATCTGCAATGAAGTCCTATCTTGCTG